TGTGTTGCGATGAACTTATCATCAACGCTATCTCTATCTTCTATCTTCGACCCGAAAACTCTCAACCAGGTATTGACAAAACACAGAGTTAGGAGGAATCGAGAGAAACACCATCAAATATGACCAAAGACTACCACCAATTGCGAGATCAGCACAGAGCCTCCGATTGACTTGTGCTGTTATCCACAAGACACTATCGGGCGAAAATAGAAGCGAATTTCCTTAAAACTAGTTCATGTAGTTGTTCATATGTACAGTGGTTCGGAAAAATTGGGTACGACAGAGTGTCACCGGGCTAGACGTATCGAGCAGAAACAGGAAAATGCTGAGATGATCATGGAGAAAGCAACCTGTACTGTGTAGGCTTCATCGACAAGGGATGGCTTCGTTGACAGATTTTGCAATTTTCGCGGTTTTTCAGAAGAGCTTCACTGAAAATCAGCTTTGAAAAGTCGATATATACCTGAGCCAGGGTTCGAACCTGGGTCGTCTTCATCAAATAAATTCCATCTTGTCGCTTTCGAGGCGATTTTTGGCCAACGGAGCCATCCCTTATCGATGAGGCCAATGAAAAAACTGGTCCAGATGCGATTAACGAAGTAACCTACTAGGCGTTCTAAATGAACAACTGGTAAATATGGATGCTTTTCGGAATCCCGCACAATCGTTCGCTGGGATGCTGACTCAGCATCTGAGCTCAGCTCTGCATTGCTGAGCACTCACAGGCGACGAGAGGCGATGAGCAGCCCGACACGAAGGCGTATACAATTCACTGACAATAAACACGATTAACTGCTGCATCACCAGAGGCCAACGAAAAACTATCAGCAACCACGTCAAGTGAAGTTGGAAGCAATAATACAGCTATTGTGCATTTATTGTATAACTACTACTAATCGTCATCAATATCGCTCATATCCTTAGTTAGCTCATCAGCGACCGCCCAAGAATCCTCGACACACTGCACTACCTTGAGGTTATACCTGAGCACTACTAAGGTGGAAAAGCCGTCGTTTGCAGTAGTGGTTCTCTCATAGTACTACTCTCGCCGGTTCTCGCTCCACAATCGGGCTGCCTCGCTGTTCGCTGGACTGTTGGGGTTAGGATCACATAGCAATGACTGAACCGACGTTAGGATGGCTGCTATGTCGTATATAGGAGACCACTGAAGAGGAACACAGTAGCCCGCATGTACCGCAGCCGGAAGATTCATACCTGGTTCTGCAGAATGTCGAGACATATCTCGCCGTTGGTGTAGATGTTGGGATGAAACATTGGATTCAGAAACCGCACCCGAGGCGGTTTGGTCGGGAATTCCTCACTGAATGTGACTTCCAGTTGGAATGTACCTTCAAGCGCCACCGAGTGGCTCAAGCTACTGCGCCCTATGCAGTGTGGGAAAAAGAGCACATGGTCAACTACATGTGTCGGTGGCAATGTGGAAATTCTGAGGAAATTTCGGGAGATTCTTATTGGTTTCTGAGCACTTCAACTGTAAATCGTACTATAGTTAGTGAGGAAATTCCTACGGATGAGGAAAGGGAACATATATTCCTCCAACACTGGTCCTTCCCTCGTACCTCCTTCCCATGGGGTATCTTCCGGCCCGAACATGACTGCAGTCCATCTCATGATATCATCCGTAGTCGGTGCTGCACTAACACCACTAGGAGGGTCCTGTTGGAGCTTCTTCAAGTCCCGTATTAGTCGTCGACGAGCGACGGTTGACATACTCCCGAACAAACTTGTGTATTACTACCAACTCAGGATGCTGGCCACAGTAAAAACCCGTTATGATGAACAGAGCCCAGGAATGTATCAGTGTTGCCAGGAACTACGAAACTAGCTGACTATAGCTCTTGAACAGTGATAGTAGCCTACTCCGTAGTTGGGAGTAGGCTCGACAGTTAAAATGCAAAAAGATGCAATCCTGATGGTTTCGCTCCGTCAGAGTAATTAGCGCTCGCCCAAGTCCTCATGGAATGTAGCAGGGTAAGCCCTGCCATACGCTCCAGACGCTCTGTAGTCGCTTACAATGCCTCACGCTCTCGACTGCTGTACTAGTATTCGCTTTGCTCATCGTCAGTTGGCTTGTTGTTTATTTCAGTAGTATGCGTATCGAGAAGTGTTGGTACTGCAGTAGCAACATCTACCCTGGCCATGGGGTAATGTTCGTACGGAATGACGGCAAGGTAGTAGTAGTAGTAGTAGTAGTAGTAGTAGTAGTAGTAGTAGTAGAAGGGTCATACGGGGCGTTTCGGCTTTTGGGTAGATCTTCCGTTTCTGTCGATCGAAGTGTCATCGTCACTTCAAGCGGAAGCACAACCCTCGTAAGGCAGCCTGGACGAAGGCGTATAGGTGAGGGCACCAGTCTCCTAAGTAGGGAATATATCTTTCTTAGGGCCGCTCATGGTAAGGAGATGACTACCGACTCGACATTCGACTTCGAGAAGAAGAGGAATACTCCTGTAGGAGATGTGGCCGTGGTGTGGTATGGATGCGGTTAAATGTTTAGGTCAAATACGACCGTGACTTGTGGGTGAAGACGGTCCGAGCCATGAAGATAGTCGATCGCATTAGAACGGTAGCTTCCGCAGGTTACAGAAGGAAGGTTACGCTCCTGGTATCAGGTACGCAAGGAGAGGTTCCAGAAGAACAGACTGGCCGCACAGAGGAAGGTCCGCATCCACCTTGCTGAGAAGGAGATCGCCAAGCAGGGTAGTAGTGTTGGTGAGGCTAGGGCTCATGAAGGCATGCCTGTGCTCAGGGGAGCTGCTCAAGAAGCCGATTACCAAGCTGGACCAGATGAAGCGTCGGGAGGAGCTCAAGCGCAAGGAGGGAGCTGTGCCCAGCCAAACCGAGAAGGTCCACAGGATGGATGTCGATGGTGGTTCCGATTCGGACTAGATGGTGAAGGGAGCTGCAACAAACCGTGTGGATACGTCATAACTTACTATACAACAACCTTAACGTCATATTACAACTGTAGGGTTTCTACTGGTTTCTAAGAGGCTCTTGAGTTGGGCTATTGGACGAGGCTTGAAGTGTTGTTGTTGGTGTTGATGCCGACGAAAAAGACATGCAAGGAGTTGCCGAGTCGGTCTCGATCATAAGGGGGCTAATAAGACTGCTCGGAAGCCTGGTCTGGCAATGGTTATTTTTGTGATGAATTGATCGAGATATGTACGTGGGGGAAAGTGAGAGGGTCATAGGGAGTCGTTGTCCTCGGAATATGTGGGAGAGTAAATCCTAGACGTGTCGGAAAAAGTCATTATTGAGGCACTTCAGAGCTCTTGACAGGAATAGCTCCTTCAAGGACAGGTAATACTATTTGCACTATGCGGGAAGGTCTGCCGGTATTTCCAATCAAGATGATGATGGGCCCCTAGGAGTGCATTTTCAATGACTATTTCGTATATGCATAGCTCGCGGACTCTGCCGGTGTGGAATTCAGCAAGTTGAATGCGGAGACTAGATGCATGATCGCAGACCAGTTTGTGGCCTCGGTTCGTTCCTGGGAGGACGCTGAAACGCTGGCAAGGCCGTTTGAGGCGACTTAGAAGTCCTACCTCCTCCTCCTCCTTTGATCGAAATTATGTCGACGACATATGAAAATCCAATCTAGTTGTATGTGCTTTCTCAACAGTCGCATACTCTGCTCTAAGTGGTTGTAAGGCTTATACCGGATGAGCTTCTGGCGTTACCACTAGCTGTATCGAGAGTTGTGTCATAGAAAGTATTCCCTGAGCCAGTCTGAAAAGTCCCTGGGCCAAGTGCCTTTTGAGTGATAGTAGCTGACTTGATGAGTGCTGCCTCATACAACAGGATGAGTACGGCTTCGATAGTACACACAGACAAACGGCTTCATATAATGACGTGATGAAGGAACTGTCTTTAGCGCAGCTTGTCGCGAAATCCTACTGCAACACAAGAGACAGTCATAGAAGGGAGCTGAAGTCAAATTTCCTTCATACACCAACAGCGATTAGTGCAAGGCACTGAGAACGTGACTTTCTACACAGTTCGTGAGCGTTCTAATGATGTAGCCCAATCGACTATAATATTATAACTGCACTTTTCGAACCGATGTGTGTAGCGTTGTCATAGTACTCGCTAGCTACGTCACGGTATTCCCTCGAAGACTCGTTTACCTCCTCATCCCCTACGATGGAATTGATATCAAATTATGTTCACACGATTCAGTTGTTGTCGAAGAACGATGACTTCGTTGAACATGGATTAGCACTCTGTTTCCACGGAATGCATGTGCTGCGCCAAAATATGAAAGTCTAGGCTAGCCGGATTCTGCTTGCCAGACTGCTTGGCTAAGTGACGCTGTAGAAGCTGTAGGAATCGGTGTAAGTTCGACGTTATTTGACCCGGGCACGATTCGAGGTGGTGATGTTTTTCACGTAATTTATTTCTTGTGCTTCGCTCCGCCCTGGACAAGCGTTTTAGCTGTGAAGTTTCCAATACAAAACTGGGTCGCAGTTTTTACGAACCCCTCGAAACAATGGTTTCTACCACGCTTCCTAGCGACATCTCCGATCGTCTGACGGAAGCGGTCGCCAAGTTCGAAACTCCCAAGGAGGTGATGATTAAGGTTAAGGACGACTTCCTGGAGGAGATGAAGCTCGGTTGGGAGGCCGGTCAGGGTGCTGGTGCCCCTTCTGAGGCATCTAGCGTCAAGATGCTTACCTCTCACATTAATGTGCTCCCTCGTGGTCATGAGGCTGGCATCTACTACGCCCTTGATCTTGGTGGAACCAATTTGAGAGTTCTACGTGTTGTGCTTAGCACCGAGAAGCAACCTGAGATTGCCGAGAACAGGAAACCCATCCCTCATGATGTTATGGGTGGCACTGCTGAGGATCTCTTCGGATTCATTGCTGCCACTGCTAAGGAGCTCACTGATAAATTCCATGATGACGATCTTATGCCTGCTGGTTTCACATTCTCTTTCCCCATGAGCCAGTCTGCTATAAACCATGGCAAGTTGATCGAGTGGACTAAGGGTTTCTCTGCTACTGGTGTTGTTGGTGAGGACCCTGCTACGTTGCTCAACAAGGCCTTCGAGGAGCAGGGTGTTCCGATCTACGTCGCTGCTCTGTGTAACGATACTGTGGGAACTCTCATGACTTGCTCCTATGAGTTCGAGGGTTGTGGTACTTGCCGTGTTGGTATGATCATTGGTACTGGTACCAATGCTGCTTACTCTGACCCTACTCTTGGCAACTTGGTCGTCAACACTGAGTGGGGTGGATACAACTTCAAGGAGGTTCCCTCTGTTCTTAACTGCTATGATGAGGCTGTAGACAAGGCTTCCCCCAACATGGGTAAGCAGTACTTTGAGAAGACCATCTCCGGTATGTACTTGGGCGAATTGACTCGTTTGGCCACCCGTGATGTCCTCAAGGGCTACTCAGCTCACTTGCCTGACTTCCTCAACGAGTCGGGTCTCGATACGAAGTACGTGTGCGCCGCATTGGAAGGGGAGAACCTCGGTTGCGATGATGAGGTTATTATGACAGTCTTCCGTGGTATTGGTGAAGCTGTTCTTGAGCGTAGCGCTCGTCTCTGTGCCTCTGCTCTTTCGGCTGTTGCTCAGAAGTGCGATATCATGGACAATGAGAAGCGTCACATGCGTGAGGTTTGCATTGTTCATGGAATGCCTAGGTCTTTGACTATTGGTGTTGATGGTTCCCTATATCAGAAGGGTTATCGCTATCCTCAGCGTTTGGATGATGCCTTTGCTATGATCATCGGCAAGTCGGCCGCTTCGTTAGTGCATACAGTCCACAGCAGTGATGGCTCTGGTGTTGGTGCTGCTCTTGTAGCCGCTGCCGTCTCTCGTTAAGTTGTTCTTACGAGTAGTCGGTTATTGTACCGTTAAGGAGTGGTTATCAGTGTTGGTCAGTTGCAACTATGACGATGGTTTGCATTACCCTGATCAGTGTTATTGATGACCACTCTTGAACGGGTGTATGCTATACTGTACTCGTATAATTTATCTATACACGGTAGCACTATGATCATCGTCGTCATCGGATGTTTGCCCTATCTTTAAAGGCGATGGTTGAGTTACCTGCCTCCTGCACTCAGTCCGTTCCTTTGAGAATTACCGTTGCTGCCTCTAGTATTGTTAAGCACTTACATAGCATTGGTGATTCTTCTAGTGGCTGGACATCTGTTTGTTTATAGTAGAGAGTTATGTAAAACTAGCACTACTGCTTCTGCGATCCTTCATGAAGCATCATCGTTAGCTATCATCTAACGTGTATGGTGTCACTAGAGACCGTACATGCATCATTATCTCACAATGTGGTCGTCATGTTGTGTTGGAAGCTTCTGTTAATACTCAGTGGTGTTGTTGCCGATTTCATCCCATTCTACTGGATTGACTCTGTTATATTCTTGGCGAGAAATTCTCAAGCTGAGCATCAGTGGCGTATTATTCGTGTGATTTACTTGGTGGTGAAAAAGCTAGTGTACTACAGATCGTCTTAGTGGGTTGTAAGACTTTGGCAAATAGGGGATCTTTCGTACCTCTTTCCGTGCCAGTTGCTGTTCAAGCCCATTTTAGGCGTTGCATTTACATAGTCGTAGAGATCATTTTCGTGATAACTACTGTTGAAAACGGCTCGTTTCGTCGGTTCACCATGACTTACCGACTCGATGTTTTTCGAAATTAATCTCAAGTTTCGAAATAGTTACCCCCCCCCCCCCCGTTTCTAAATTGAGATGGCAATTTCGGACCTATTCGAAGTTATGTGTATTTAGTGATCTTGAATTGGAATTGAATATTCTCAAGCAGGGGACGTCCGAATTTGAGGTGCATTCCTGATTGAAGTTGAATGGATTTCAAGGATTTATATGGGTTTTATATCGAAGTTCCATTATTTCAACTTGAGGTGAAAAAGGTGTAGATATTTGTCACAGCTCATTCTACAGACGCTGGCTGATGCTTTCACTGAGGCTGTGTCGATGTCAGCTTCGTTCGTACGGCTCTGGAGGATGATGGCTCCGATTTCAACGATCAGGTGGTCTATCTCGTATGTCGTACAGTCGACGATGCCGTGGTCCAAAGAAGTTTCAATCTGTGCACCGCTGTCGTCTGGAAATGCAGCATCGGCCGTTGAATCAAGCAGCACACGTGAGAAGTCTGTGTCGACCAGTACACGCCTCCTTACACTAAGAGCAGGCATTTCTCTATACCTCAAGGGCTATCACTCTCCAGAGCGCCTCTCTTTAGCATCAGCAACATAGTTGGAGATGTTATGGTATTCCTCAGTTGAACGGCACGAAGTATCGATGGCTTGGGCGCAGGAACAGCTCCTGTCGATCAGTAATTGCCATCTTATTGTCTTTCCTACAGCATGTATCTCGACTCACCTGTTACCTTAACTGAACGGCCTCATTAATGCTTCATGCCTGTTACTGTGCTGTTTTCTCCCTATTGCCTCGTGTTCATCATGATGTTAATACTGTTTACTGGGAGTCTCTATCCAGCACTTACACTCAGTCGCATTGAACAACATGGCCGATATCGACCAAGCCTTGGGAGCTACCATAGAGAGGTCCTCCACCCGCCCGGCTTGAGCTTCGATCAGCTTCGGTCCGTTCAGGTACTTTGTCGAGTTCCTCATGAAATTCAAAAACAATGCTGACGATGCTGAGCCGGCCTATGTTACTCAAGTGGGCTTTCGTCGTAACCTCTAGCTTCAACGCTAATCGTGGTCAGGTTCGTCGCATGCGTGCTGAGGAAATGCATACTCTTTTCATCGACTATACCCACTTTGAGAAGTTCTCTGAGTAAGTCGTGTAACTAAAGTATCAGTGTGGATATCTTGCGACGGGTGATCGGCTCAGAATGGAAGGGGACAACTTGGACTTCGACCCCTTGGACCTGCGTAATGTGATCGCCAAGCACTACCTCAAGTTGGAGCCCAACCTAGTCAATGCTCTGCAGACTTTCATCGTCAGCATCTCGGCAGAGATCGCTCAATGGGCCCTCCAGGTGGCCTCGATGGAACGCCTCGTTAGTGCTTACTGAGCGGTACTGCTCTCAGACCAACCGCTTCAGTGTGTCCTTCTACAACGTGGAACAGAGACACTCTTTGCGCGATCTCCGCATGGGCAATCTCGGGCAGCTTGTCACTATTACCGGCACTGTGACCAGGTGGGAGTGATAAGCATGGATGTGGTGTCCATCAACTCATTCAGGACGTCAGTGGTCCAGCC